GAGAGAGAGAGAGAGAGGGAGAGAGAGAGCAAAAGGCATTGAATTTTTAGTGAATAACTGTATTATTAATATTTAGTAAAACTTTTCATTGCCTATAGTATTGGCTATTATTTTGTGAGAGGAGTATATAAAGCCAATGATTTTTGTGATAAAGACTATCCGATTGCAAAAACTCTCGAAATCTTTTTTGATTAAAAAGTTTTTAATCCCAAACCACAGCTCAAAATGAATTCATTCATTGTAAGTTTTTTGTTTTATATTAATTTTTAGTTTTAATTTATTGGTTAGCAATTTAATTTTTAATGTTATTAGAAATTATATAACAACAGAAATTATTTATAATACTAGTAAATATTCATATTATATAAGGTATTGTGATATTATATATGATTATTTATAAAATTAATATTGCGACCTAGGTATCTGCCAACATAGGATTTAATTTAATTTTTAATGAATAAAAATATTCCTTAATGTTAAGTTTACAGTATAGTTAATTATTTATTAATCTAATCAAAATCTTGTTTAATAATCTAGCTATTTGAAAAGAATATTAATAAATTAATGCTACAATACTGTCAATAGAATAATACATAAAATAAATTTTTGTTTAAAAATAAAATAATAATAAGCAAGATCTTTACTCCTTTTCTCCAAATTAATTATGTCAAACATTTTTCCAATTATATTCAATGAGAATTAACACTTATTACAGTCTATTAATTTTTAATTTTATAATTATTATATAATTTCATAATATAAAGAGTGGTATTATGATTTTTCTACCAAAAACCTAAACCTATATAAAAATAATAAATCCAGTCGATTACGATAGCCAATTCAAAATTTTAATTATTAATCACGTAATATCAATAGCTTACTATTATTAATATTACAGTCTAAAATTTAGTATAATTAAAGTTTATAACAATATGCATGTTAAATTCGTACCTAATAATGTACTATAATAATTATTATATTACCACCCAGGTCCTTTTCGCTATCGTCGGTGTGTGCGCCGCCTCACCCGTCCTCCTGGCGCCGGCCCACTCCATCAGCTCATACGCTATCCATACACCCGTCAGCTCCGTCAGCAGCTACTCGTCCCATGTGGCACATCCCGCCGCCATCCATACCGTGCACGCGGCCCCCGCCCTCCTGCACGCCCCTGTGGTCAGCCACTTGGCCGCCCCCGCTGTGCTCAGCGCCCACCACGTGGCCGCCCCCTTAGCCATCTCGCACGGCCACTACGCCGCCCCCCTCGCCGTCGGACACGGCCTCCTCGGCACCCGAATCATCGGCTCACCCCTACTCGGCTCCCGACTCCTCATTAAATAAGCTCTCGGATACACACCTACCCGCCCCCTAAACAATCCAGTATTAATGACCCCGAGCTATAACTAAACCGAAATTATAATGTAGCATGGAAAAATAATTTGTATATAAAAAATGATTTAAAATTTATAGGAAAATTATTTTGTTTAAGCAAGATTAATTTTTTTTATATAAAAATTGTTGTTTTTTATAATTTGTATAATAAAAAGTTGATTGAATTTTCTGTAAAATTATTTTTTTTTGAAATAAAGTAGTTTTTAAGTAAACTATTTGTCTTAATTAAAAATTAAATTATTTAATTTTTATTTAACAAATTATTTTAAATAATTATACATTGGTGTGATTAAATTGTTGGTGCCTGTTGAATTTCAAATAAAAGGTTAATATTATTTACCTTTTTTCATGATTATCATCATTTTCACCATTAATTAATGTAAAACTTTATTCATGTAATAACATTATGAAATAATATTAATATTACAGATTAACTTAACTTAACTACAGTAAAATAATTGTTGAAAATTTTAACAATACGCAAACCACCTAATAAATAAATTAATTACTACCTAATTATATTATAATAATAAATATTTTACCATCCAGGCCCTTTAAATATACCAACCATGCGTCGGTTAAAAGTTAATCTATGTTAAATAGTGATAAACAGTTCAAACAAAATTTTAATTATAATAGATATAAAAATATTATAGACACTCATTCTGTTATGCCCCATAAAATTAATTTATTATTGGTTAATTTACTATGAATATAGATTAATATTGAAATTACAGTTTATTAAATATTGTCAAATTTACTTTAAAAATATATAATTTAATAATAAGAAAATTATTTTATCATACTTGATGTTTATGAATTATTTATGATAATTAAACTTAATTTTAAAATGTGCTAATTTATTAGTAACCTAAATTCTGAATACTATTAGAAAATAACAATAGAAATTAATATTTAATTTTCTAGTTTAATAGTGCATGGTGTTTTATAATAAAAGTTATAAATGTAAACTGTCATCAATTGTAACTTAAGAATTTTAAAACTATTTTGTGTTATTACCCATAATTATAACTTTGATAATATTGATAGCAGACAATAAATAAATAATAATTTATAAGCTTCAATTACTGTCTGTTAAAAATCATCAATAATTTTGTTAAAATTTTTAATAGACTCTCTCAATATAAAAATAATTTTAAATAAAATAATAAAGCTTAAATGTTGTTTTTGAAATATAGAGTTTGTATAATACTTGTGATTTAAGTGATTATTAACACTTAATTTTATCAATGTAGAATCATGTTATATACAATACTTTTTTCAAAATTCAAAAGTTAATTACCTTCTGGAGTCCTAATCCAAAAACAAAACACTTAATTAGGTAAGTTATTATTTAAATATAATCTACCATAATTACAGTCTATTATATAAAAAATAAATTTAATAGTTAATACACGAATCCAAAAAATTAAACTAACTTTTACATTATTTATAATATAGATAATACTATTAATAAAATTGCAATAAAAATGTTGCATTAAAAAATATTTTATTGAAATCTTAAAATAAATTTTAGATTCAACAAATACCCACAAATTATTGTGAAAATTAATTCATAAAAATATTTCAAAAATAGTAGTTTTTCCAAAAGGTATCGCATATTGCGTGAAATGGATCGTCCAATACCCGGCTTATATTCACTGGATTTAAGTCACGGACTTTTACCACATTATTATCCAACAGTTGCGGCCAAACTTCATCCGGTTTACTATCATTTCAAAAACAAATTTAAATATTTATAACACTTATTAAGATTTCACTTCCAATTAATGTACGCACTGGTAGGGATCATGTATACTCGCATTTTACTATGTTAAAGTTTACTATTGTCACAAAATGATTTATTTTAATTTAGTAATTATCCCCTTATATATACACTTAATATTAGGGGTTAATTAACAAATTAAGTAGGTCTATTTTAGTGAAAATAGTACGCTAGGCTTGTTAGAATGGGGAGGGGGTAAATTATTAAAAATTTTTGTACGTAATTTGTGAATGACGTCTACGTGGGTTACAATTTTGTTTAAAAAATAACAAATATACCCGTATTTAGCAAAATCTGTCCACATTTTCATGACTTGTCGACTAAACACTTGGTCTTCGGGCGTAAAAACTTGCGGTAAAGTTAACGGCAAACCAAACACAAAGGGTATATCCATGGTGTGACACACGCCCATAGTAGCCGGGTCACAATTAAGCAGTTTGGCCGCCAAGGGGTTCACATAAGTAAGTACGTAAAAGTAGACGTTTTTCCGGTGTTTGACAATAGTCTTGAACCGTTTGGCGAACAGATACGTCGGACACTTCATGAAGAGGTCGCCGAAAAAGTCATAGAAAGCCCACCGAATGGCCACCGGATCCGTGCGGTTGACACCCTTCAGGTAGAAATCGGTTACCTTTTGGACGTCCAGTCCGTGAAACATGTGATCGGTTTTGAGGACGTCCTCCTGAAACCTATCGACAGTCATACCCTCGATGTGCCTGTCGATGGCTCTCGACAGGAACGACCCCTCGTTTTGGGTAATGCCTGCCATTAAGTCGATGCCTTAATAGGGATACAATGTTAGCGTTTTACTAGGGTACATCATAAATATAATACTGTATATTATATCATACATTAACAAAATTTTTAATCTACAACAATTACTAATGTTACAAGTATCAGTAACAGGGTTCTGTAGTCCATGAATGTTAATCTATGAAACGAATTATATCATATTAAATGGTTCCTAGCTAAAAATATATTGCTCTAACAATTAACCTACATTGAAAAAAACTTGAACTCAATTTAACTAATTTAATTTCATTTTACTTAAACTCATCAGTTAATACTCTGTTTAGGTTTAGGTCAATTGTTAATTTCATCAAAGGCCTATTTGTTTAATAAGTCAATTGGACGGCTACCCAAATAGATTTTGTTTAATACATTCAAACCTTTATTGAATTTGTGGTCCAAAAATGCCTTTTGCTCGGAAAGTGGCAAATACTCGGTGCCCAACACCGGGAATGTCTCGAGTTTGGTCTCTTGCTGTAAGAGGTCGTCAGCGCCGACACCTTTAAGGCATTGCAACCATTGGTCATCATCACTGCAATTCAGTTGTCGCGCCGTTTGTTTAGCCAGATCTAGAGCCTCCGATTTGCTGATGACATCCCTGTCCTTGTTGTACATATGGGCACCGCTTTGCATAATAGCCCTCCGGAATAAGCCTTTAGTTAGCGGCGACACTATGTGCGCCGATGTGGACCAACTACCGGCGCTCTCACCAAATATGGTGATCTGATCCTTATCCCCACCAAATTGATGAATATTTTCTCTCACCTATAGTTTTAATAAAAAATAATTTAAAATAAAAATTATTGCATAGATCGGTGCAAAATTAACCTCAATGAATTTTTTAACAAAATACATGTGAACTTACTTTATATTAACAAATAATCTAATCCTAATATTAAATATAAGTATTTTCAGCAAAACAGATTACAAATATGTTTAAACTAATAATTATTAAGAATTTTAAAGCCCTAAAATAAATTAAATGATGTAATTAAAATTTTATATTTGAATTATGACTAAATACTCAATTACCGATTATGGCTACTCTACAACCGACCTATCCAAATAATTTTTAAATTATTAACAAAATTCATACCCATTTAAGAGCCAATAACTGGTCAAAAAAGCCCACATTTCCGGGTGCGGACTCCACCCCTGCGTACAAATAGCCAAACGGTCCCAACC